GAAACAAAACAAGACATCTGCCCATTTCATATTTACCATAATTGATAGTTTGATTATTTTGCGTTACGCTGAGTGGTTCAAAAGTGTTGAATTTCCGGTCATGAATTGTTGAGCAGATCTTTCCCAGGAACAGTACATCCTCCAGCTTGAACAAAACCATCAAATATTGGTTCAGTTAAATGGAAAAGACATTAAAGTGGCAATAATGGGCCAAGAAGTAACAACAAATTGTTAAGCTTGTAAAAACTACGGAGAAGAGCTAACTTTTGACTCGGAAACTGATTCAGTTATAAATTTTTAGCTCAAAGGTAAATATTGATTTTTGCCATGAATCGACACCAGATGTGATTTATCTGTGGCACGTGTTCAGAATGTTTATCAGTTTGCTCAGGATACTAGGTTAAGGGTATCAAGGTGAGGCTAACTGATCATCTGATCTAAACGTTTGCAGTTATTTTGGAAATTTTCAAAACTTATCTCAAAGAGCGGGTAATGAGATCAAAAGAGAAAATTACGAAGATAGCAAATCTTTTCCTTGTCACTTTTTTATATGATCACCTTCGTATTTTCTTGGCGATAAACCCAATCCCTTTTCAGCGACTTTAATTTTCCTTTACATTAAAAATCTGTAGGATTTATTCTGAGACTCCTAGAGGTTTAGCACGGCTTTTTATACGAGTGGTGAACCCACGAAAATGTGAAAACATTGAACAAGGTACAAGGCTTTCGTTTGTAACTTTCTCAGGAAAAATAACAGTTTTGTGATAAACATTGAAAAGCGGTGCAGAGCTATTTACTGAGATCAGTCAAGTTGGTGAGTGTTTTAAATGTTTGGTTTTTCCGTTAGTGACAAGTCTAAACCTGTATCCCTCGAAAATATCAGTATATATCTATTTTAAAGCTATTTTTGGTGAAATGAATCGTCTTTCCCTATCTTATCTTCCTCTAGTAAACCTGACACTTGTATGCGAGTCGGGGCAAATTTGTAGGGGAATCAAAACATCCTTTTATTTACCGAAATAAGAAGAATTAATTTGTTGCTGGGTATTTTTCAACATGTAGATGAAGGTCCAGAACTCAATATTCAGACACGTCCCCTTTTCGAAATTCTTCAAACTGTGGATCGTATTAATTGTACGAAAGTTACAGCTTTATCTGATAACGTAAAGAAGATAAATATTTTCTAAAGATATCTCCACAAGCGAAAACATATGTTTTGCAGGATGGAAGCTAGTTTAACATGATGTAATACCTTAATGACGGGTTTTCTTATGAAGTATCTCCGTTAAGCCCAACGCCGCCTGGTTAATTCGTAGTTTGTAACTAATGTATTTACCCTTAAAAGTTTGGCACTCCTTCAAAGGGGTCTATAGATAGACCAATAATAAAGGAAAATATTCTCCTCGCCACCAAACTTTAAACCTTTAAACTTTAATGAAGTAGCACATAAGGTATTTCAAGAAACTTGACATTAGATTGAGATCAGCAGTGAGGTCTGCCTAAAAATCCCAAACTAAGGCTGACGAAGAAAGAGTTAGTTCAATCTGAAGCCTTAGTTCGTTAGACAATAAAATATAAATTTCTTTGCCATAATTTTCTAAATTGCTACTAGGGTTCCAGATGCAGTTTTGCTTTCGTAACTGATAGTATTTGCAGTGGTAATGCAGTTTTACCTTTCACGGCCAATAATAGATTTCCATGGATGAAAACGGTCAGCACCAGCAGAGTTGGACGACTCATCCTCACAGACTAAACCTCTACCAAATGACTGTGATCTGTATCTGTGAAGTGTGTTTTATAATTCAATATA